AGTGAAGCCCTACCTATTAGTTTAAGCTTTTGATCTGAGTTAGAATTGTGGATTCCTTACCCGACACTCTATCCGTTGTTCTCGGCCCGCCGGAATATTAACATGGTATCGGAGCAGGTCCGGTCCGGGTTTGATTGTTCCTGGTTGTTTGGATGTGAGTTTAGCAAAAATGAGCTACCCGTCTGAGATTTGGGCTGAGTAGGCTAAAAAGAGATTGAGATGCTACTGCCCGTTTTGTGGACTAGCTATAATAGATTGAGATGCTAGACACGTTTATCCAAGTGCTAACTAGGCCAGGCTAGTTACCACTTGCGGGGGAGTGTTGGAGTTTCCACATTGGAAAAATAAAGATGAGTATCAGATCACTAGCGTATATAGAACGGTGAAGCCCTACCTATTAGCTTAAGCTTTTGGGTTAGAATTGTGGATCCTGAATTTATATACAAATGGTCAATTTTACTCGACATTCTATCTGTTGTTCTCGGCCCGCCGGAATTTTAACATTTTTCATACAAAAAAATATTACTTTTGCATGATATGATGCCTCAAACGAAACAGGAGCACCAAATTCAAATTGTTATTGTAACACGCAATTTGCACAATTTCATCTATCTTCCTCGAAAAGGAATACTAATTACACCGAGGTAGCAAACAACGGAAGATAGGCCCAAGTTGATGTTGGTTGATGAACAAACTAAAGATGCAATGAAGGAATATAATTTAGAGATGAAATAGCAGTTAATATTCTACAATGCAGTTAAGCTTAATTGAAGATACTAAATACGGAGTATAGTTTTTACAATACTGAAAAACATTCTATGTAACTATTTTATCCATAAGTTTTTTTAAATAGTTTAAAATATTAATGTAGTCCTATTTTGTCATGTAGATTAATATATACAAAAGAAATTGGTATTATTCATATTAAAAAGTTGATGAAAAAATAATAACGAGTGAATAATAAAAATAGCGAGATGAAAAATAAAATAATTTATAAACTATAGATATGAACATAATAGTTGTAATAATAGTAATATATCGTTTTTAGAGCTATTTATCAGAAAGTAGAAAAAGTTTGAAGAAAATAAAAATAGTTGGAAGAAACTGGAAAAAATTGGAAGGAACTAGAAGAATTGTAAGAAACCGGAAGAAACTAGAAGTTAAGAGTTCAAGCTGTAAAGAACAGACTCTTATACTCCCTCCGTCCTGGAAAACCTTTCTCCTTTCTTTTTTTATCCGTCCCAAAAAATGTTTCTCATTTCTATTAAAAAGTCATTTTTACTCTTACTAATTTTTAATTTATCTATCACATCATACTTTTTTACTACTAATCTACCCATCAAATCTACTTTTATCTATCACATTCAAAGACATTTTTAGAAAGTCAATACAAAAGTATACTTCTTTTAAGTCTCTTAAAAATCAAAACAAGAAATGTTTTGAAGGACGGAGGGAGTACTTTTTTTCTCCGTCCCAAAAATATTGTCTCACTTTAAATAATGCACAAAGTCGCATTTCTTTTTATATTATTTTATTTATTAATTGATATAGATATAAAAAGCATAGTTTTAAAACCGGACCGGACCGGCCGGTTCGGACCGTGAACCGGCGAACCGGTGGTCCAACCGGTCCGGTCCGGCCCATTGGACCGTAATGCGCTTCGAACCGGTCCGAACCGGTGTGAACCGGTAAGAACCGGCCGGTCGGACCGGTCCGACCCGTTTTTTTTTTTTTTTGCCATTTTTTTCCAAAACTTCACTCCATGGAGGTTTGAACCCAAGACCTCTTAGCTATTTGATTAAGTTCTTAACCATCCAACTAACATTGTTTGTTGTTTCAAATTCATATAATTTTTTCTAATATTTCATAATTAATAAAAAGATTGTATAAAAATTACTTTTAAATTTTAAAAATATACTCCCTCGTCCCATTTTAAATTGCCTGTTTGCTTTTTTTCTCCGTCCCAAAATAAGTTGCATGTTAGTTGTTTTCGTAAACTTTTAAAAATAAAATACCTAAACTACCCCTAAAATAAGTCACTCTTCTTCACCTTATCTTCTCATTTATCATCACCCCTCCTAAAAAATAATGTCAATTTCGAAAAATCAACTCTATTTTTTATTTTCCTTAAATATGCCCAAAAGTCAAAACAGGCGATTTAAATTGGGACGGTCCCTCATTATTCATCATAATATACGATACTCAGTTTGTGTTTTAGTAACTATACAAAAATTATTTTAAAATTATAATAAAAATTGTACATTTAAAATATAAAATTAAATCATTTTATTGAGTTCATACAATTATATTAAAATCAGTTTTTTAATGAAAGAAATACATAAATATATACAGAATGTGTGTGTGTGTGTGTGTATATATATATATATATATATTTATATTTATATTTATTTATATATTTATATTTATATTTATATTTATATTTATATTTATATAATTTTTAAATATTTTTAAACCACCAGTTCGACCAGTTGAACCACTGGTTCGACCAGTGAACCAGTACCTTGATCGGTTCGGTCCCCGGTCCGGTTCTCAAAACTATGATAAAAAGTACTACCTTCGTCCTAAAATTAAAATGTGTCATATATGTAGAGTTGTGACATTGTGGTCCTAAAGTCCACAAATGAAATTTGGATCTTCTCACATATTTTCATTGAGTCATAAAATGGCCATGGACTAACGATCACGAAAGAATTTGTCAGGTATATAAATATCGATAGTAATAGTTAAAGTATTACATTAGAGACTGTGAAAAACTCAAATGAGGAGAATAAATTTAGAGTGAGAAAGTAAATATTTTAAACAATATTTCATTTGTAGTCAAAGCGTTGTACAATTTGACAAAAAAAATTAAATTCTAAAATTTTTTGAGACAAAAAATATTTCTTATTTGAGAATATCTAAAAAAATGATGTAGATTAAATCTAAAAAATTCTCAGTGATGTATTGTTTGTGAATCTTCTTTTGGACTTTTGGCGGCCATAAATCTTTTTGACGTGTTTGGGTTTGAGTTGAAAGAACCATATTAGGATTATAGGGACTATTATGATATGATACCTTCAAAGGCTTAATTAATTAAAGGCATGGATGGATTATAGGGAATTATGTATAATACGCAAATAAAACGTACACGCACATTCTGGAATATAATCCAAACCCAATATAAAAAAGCATTATTCTCGAAAATTTTATGGGCCCCACCCCTACCTATGTGTTAGTCGCCCATAAGAGCAATGACAATGGCAAGACAAAAATGAAATGTCACACGGTGACATGGATTATTTCAACCAATAAAAAGTAGCACAGTCACCGTGTGGCAAGTGAATGGAGTGTCCTAACATACAGTGACAAGTCGTTTTTGTCTATTTTTGCACTTTTTAATGATTTTTAATTATAAAAAATTATTTTTAAAATTTATTTTATTATTAAAATATGTTTACTTCTTTTAAAAAATATCTTTTCAAAAATTACAAATATTAAAAATATTAAAAAAATAAAAAATGAGAGAGTCATGTCTTACACATGGAATGAAAAGTGGGGGAAATGACCATGAAATGTCATGATTTGAATGGAAGTTGTTGACATGACAAGGCAAGGCATTGCCTTGTCATTGTGAATGTTAATCCCTAAATCGTTGTGATTCAAGCGTATTTTTTTAAAAATTTTTTGAAATAGTTCTTATACTCGGTTTTCGCATATTTAATTTTATAGTTTGACTTTTTAATTATATTCTTAGAGTAAAAAAAGGAGACAAATTAATTAAATAATTTTTGTATCAATGTAAAATGAATGATATGTATTACAACAAATTTATTAGTTATTTTATTCAAAAATGAAAGTACTTTGTTGAAAACATAAAATAAAAAATGAGAGGTGAAAGATTTTTAAGAAAGGAGGAAGTACATTATTACCCTCTGGAACCGGGCTGACTCAAATTAAGAATCAATTTGGTCCCGACTTTGCTCTCTTAGTCCTTTAAAATCTACCATTTGAGTTCTAGCCCGTTCTAGTGTGGTTATCCATTTCGGTCCTAATCTGGCATGAGGACTATTTCGGTCCTATTCAAAGTTTAGGTCAGGTCAAGTTTTCGTCTTGACCAAGGCGTCTTTCCTAGGAATCCAAAGGTTTAGAGAGAGTAGAACAATGACCATGTTCCGCTCGCTTAATCTTTTTAATTGATTCTGATCAAATTTTTCAAGTTTTGGTGTTATCTGATCTGATTGAGTTTTGGTGTGATCTGATTACATCTCATTAGGTCCAATCAAATCAGACTAAAGAGATGAAAACAATAACTCCACCCTCAAAAATTAGGGTTTGAATCCTTGATTACTATCTTGGGAGGGTTGGGGTGTTTGGTGTTCCTTAATTCCTCTTCTCCAATCAATCTGAAAGATGTAGAGATATATATCTATGAAACCTTCCCTCCAAGCTAGCTGCTAGTAATTACCACAACTTTTTATACCCATCAACGTACAGAGTAGTAGTTAATCTTAATTACGGAGTACTTAATTTGAAGAGTTATGCTTGACCCAAGTTTGAAATAAATAATAAAAAAAGTTAATATGGTTGTGGGATCATCGGGAATAATAAACTGAACACAACATATCTGAGAGAACAGATTGAGTTTTTTTTTCTTTCATTATGGCAATGTTGGTCCAAATGTGATTTTTTCATTTTTATTTAAGAATTTTCCATTAGATGTTGAGTACTAATCTATCTATGCGCTCGATTGGTTCATGTTCATTTCAATTTCCTACTAAAAGTATGCACGACAATAGTAGATTAGTACGCAACATCTAATGGAAAATTCTTAAATAAAAATGAACAAATCACATTTGGACCAACATTGGAAAATTGAAAAATTGAACCACTGGTCATACTCTCTGCATCTGATTGGAAAATTGACTAGCAGACCAAGAACTTGTAAAAAATGTGTGATTGAAAATTATTTAAAATAAGAAATATGAATTACAAATTTCTATCCTTAAAAAATAAAGTTATTACATTTGAGGACGGAAGGAAAAAAAGGAAAACGATCTCTTTTTCCTCACGAAATAGAAAGAAAATTTGTTTTCTGACTTTTCTCGATTCTTTTATCTTTTCATTTTCTTTTCATCTATATTTCTTTTCCTCTAATAAAAAAATAATCCATACCATTTTCTTTTTTTCCCATGCCAAGCAAGTAAGAATTATGCACTTCATATTTTTGTTCCTCCACTATTTGTATAAACAGAGATTTATTTTGTAAAGAACTGTGGCACAAGCCATTGGGGAGGGAGTAATTAGTCTATTCAAACCATTTCAATTTCTTCACTTTTTGTTTGGGCAATGGCAGATTTGTGTAGAGAGAATATGCAACTATGAATGGCATCTTCAACAGACAAGAACACAGCCTCTCTCCCAATCACATCTATGCACTTGGTTAATATCAACTTCTCCATCACCCCTATCCTTGGATTTATCAAAATTATCTGCAAAAAAAAATGTCAAATTCAAATGTAAACTCCTCAAGCATTTGTTTTTTTTTTTGGGGTGACATGTAAAAATATTGACAATAGAACCCAAGTCATAAGGCCTATCTACACCGAAACGAAAAATGTTGGATTGACCATAGGAAAGGAAAGGAAGCTCGATCGAAGATTACCTTAACCCCTTTTGCTTCTAAGATCCTCTTGATTTCGAGTAATGTTTCTACTCCCGTCATGTCTATTGATGTAATGCCTGCAATTTTTGGGTTTCGGTGTAGAGATTAAAGAGAAGATAATGCAAATTCTATGGATGTGAAAAAATTGTCATGCAAGTACCTAAGACAAAACAAAAACACTTCACATAGGGACTAAAACATACGTCGTAATTGTTTAATAAAAATATTTTAGTTTAGATTTCATTCATCTTCATAAGTTTTGATATTTATAATTGGAAGCGCTTTGAGTTCATCATGGAACATTTATTAGTTACCTCCAAATTCTAGTAGTAGATATTCAACGACTCTCCCTTGAGAATCTTCATCTCTTATCCATCTCAAAATCCTGTTGCATCAACAAGGTAAATATAATCGCGTTAGCTAGGAAATCGGTATGTTTTTTAAAGTAGCTATACAATTTTTATTAAAATAAAACCTTTCTCTGATGTAATTGCAATTTGCAAAATATATAGGAGAGCCAAGCTGCAAAATTAGGATCCCCTGAGCTCCAATTGCATTGGGGTATTGCTCCACGTCTCGATAGATTCTTGTGTCAGGTATATTCCCAAGCTTGCACACCGCTGGCCTTGCTATATACAAAAGTGCCCTCCCTACAGCAAGCCCTACCTGAAAATCAAGATTTTAAGTCATTTTATTGTTTATTCCTATCATTTGATGAAATAATTTGCTAAACGTGTCCATAAATTTCATCTACGAATATTGTGTAGATTAAACCTTATAAAAGCTCTGCATAAAAATATGATCTTTTTGTAGTGTGCACATCACAATTTAAGCGTTTACGAAAACAATATTTAGAATGAATAGTTAATATATATACCGAAAGCATGAGGCCAACGTCCATGCTGATGAAGGCAACACCAAAGAATGCCGCCATGCAAATCAAGAAATCAAACTTGTCGGCCTTGAAAAGATGAAAGGCCTTGTGGTAATCTATGAGGCCAAACATAGCAGACATGATAATGGCGGAAAGCGCCACAAGAGGGGTGTAGCTGAAGAGATGTGCCAAGAACAAAAGAGTGAATAGCATGCAAATCGACATTATTACATTTGACATTGCCGTCTTGCATCCGGCATTGAAGTTCACAGCAGTTTTGGAGAATGGACCTATATAATATATATTATTTTCGAATCAATTAGCTTAAATAAACATGTTGTCGTCTATAAACATATTTTTGAAAACTCATATATATTAATATATCCATCTAAAACAATATGGACTAATTCGGATTGATTTGGAAAACCATACCCGCCATATCTAAAGGGGGAGAAAAATTTACTGGTAAGTTTACTATATAGAGTTCCAAACTAAAAATTCACAAAAAATTGAAACTTAAATGCTGGTTGAAAGGGGAAACAACATTTGTTCTTAAAATGTATTTTTTTAGTAGAGTTTGTGTAATAAATTCTTGTCTAATCTTACTTTGAAGTACTCCGAATATTATTTAGCGATATAGAAAAGAGTATATTGGTATATAGCCTGAGTTTTTTACATAATCTTTTTTTGATGTCTACAAATAATATAAGTGACTGAAAGTTTCAAGTGTGTAGGAACAACCCATTCCATTACAGAGAAAAAGTAGGAAGCACAACTATTAATAGTAGTTTAATAATTGTTAAATTTATGTGACTGTTACTCCCTCCGTCCTAAAGCTTTCTTGCCATTTCAGTTTACAAGGTTTGACTAAAATTATTTTCATTTCAGTTTATTTGATTAAAAGTGTAGATTCTAAAAATACAATTTATATATTTAAAAACTACATCAAAACTTATACAAATCAAGAGCTGGCATGAATATTATTTAATTAATTGACTAATGAAAATAGACAAAGAAAAGGAATAAAGTTTGACTATTTAAATAGTGGGCTAAAATCCACCATTGGTCCTTCAACTTTATCAGTTGTGCACAATTGGTCCTTCAAGTTTCAAAAGTCCATAAATAGTCCTTCAACTTTATGAATTCTGCACCATTGGTCCTTCAAGTTTCAAAAGTCCAGAAGTAGTCCTTCAGGTACACGTCAGTCCTCCAGATGAAGTTCTTTTGACAGTAAATATTAAAAGATAAACGAAATACTAGTTTCATATAATACAAGTAAATTCCACTGGGTACGACTACTCCGTTTTATATGGAGCTAGTATTCCATTTAATTTTTAACATTTATTGTCAAAAGGACCTCATCTGGAGAGCTGACGTGTATTTGAAGGACTACTTATGCACTTTTAAAATTTAAAAGACCAATCATGCATAACTCATAAAGTTGAAGGACTATTTATGGACTTTTAAAACTTGAAGGACCAATCGTGCACAATTGATAAAGTTGAAGGACCAATGGTGGAGTCTAGCCTTAAATAGTGACTAGGAAGAAACTTTTAGGACAGAGGGAATATATTTTCCCATGCGGACTCAAATGGTCAAACCATAACATGAAGTATTTTTTCAAAACATCAGCATTTACCATCCATAAGATGTTTGAATATGGGACATTAAAAATTACAACTTATTACAAGTTGGAGATTATTCATATTCACAATCACTAGACAAAGTTTCCCTGCAGCCATATTTGAAAGAAATCGATACTTGAGTAAATTATGATAATTACTAACAATGCTTAGAATCTATTTTGATGATTTTGTATGATCTCAAAAACCTATAATACACTTCTTGATCACACGTTTAAAAAAGCTAACTTTCATAAATTTTTAAAAAAAAAACTCTTTGTCATTACACTTACAGTACATCACAAATTTTGAGCTACATGGGGTGTGCGATATAGAAGTTTTGTCTGTGTTATATCACAAAAATTTCATGGGAAAGAGAGAAAATTAGACTGTTTGCTCCAAAATTTGGAGCGTGGTGTAATTCCTATGTACATGTAGCATATATTGCTCAATATATATAGCAGAATAAAATGTGAAAACATTATAAATGAAGTTTTAGTTGTGTAATAAGATAGCCCATATAATAACTTGCAACATAAAAGTTGATAAGATGACATTGATATTCATGAAGAACTGAAGAACGAGAGTGTGGTTAATAGTTAATACTATTGGTTAGTGTAACTTATTCCGTGTGCCTCTATTATTTGACGTAAGTACTAGAGATGTCACATAAAATATTACCTGTAGTTAAGTAGCAAGAAGTGAAAGAGCCAACAATGTTCATCATCCCAAATGCAATCATCTCCTTGTTGCCATCGATTTGCTCATTTTTCATGATGGCAAAACTTCTTCCGATTGAAATTCCTTCCTACGCATAAAACAGAGAAGACGTTCTGTTTATATGAGTCAAGTAAACGAACAAGAGTAATACATATATAGCACTTGGTGGTATGAAAGTCCTGCAACGCATTGTAGAAATGTTCACTTACTGCCAAAGCTATCATTGCTGTGATAATTCCTGCTTTTAGAGACGCGGAGATGTACTTGGGATCAAAGTTTAATTTTCCAATTGAAGAAGGGTTTAGTCCTTTATCTAGGTGCCCAACCTGCATTTTGTATTTCCATTATGAGAAATGTATTAACTAGAACTAAATCACCGGAAATATAAACAAATCAAATAGGAATGTCTTAAGACATAAGCTAAAACAAAGAAGATAGGATCATATCAAATCAAAGAAAGTAGGAATTTGTCTTAAGACATGAGATTATGTTCTCAGCACAAAACAAAGGAAACAATTAGAATCATATCAAATCATTCCAATATCCTAGTATCACCTATTTAGTCGTCGACTCGTCGCCATCTGCATTAAAATTAAAAAAACCAAACTAAATAAATAGTGTAAATGTGGAAAAAAAAGTAAAATAAATATGCATTGATGATACAAAAAAGGATTATATTTAGGATGAGCCTATAAATAAGACCATGGTCCGTGACAGTACTTCCGATCCCTTGGCTTTCTCATTGATTTCAATTTAGAGTATGTTGTATCTTCTTCTTCTTCTTCTTCTTCTTCTTTTTATCCCCATGTACATCGCAGGAGCTGCTGTCATTGTGACACATCCACAGAAGAGTTTCGAATCCGGAGAGAGTCTAATAATCGCGCATCTATTCTATGGACTCTGGAAGAGAGAAGCTTAGAACAGGCGATCTTGACCGGACGGAGAGGCTGCTGCATATCATCACTTGCGCAGCACCCTTTTCCCCAATAGTGCCTTTATACACAAATCCAAACCCAAACCCATTTTGGGTTTCTTGAGTTCTCCTCCATTTTGGGTTTCTTGAGTTCTCCTCTATTTTCAATAGTGCCTTTACTGCATTTCTCCTCTCTTTTTTGTACTTCTTCCGTTTTTAAACTATCTTTCCAGTTATTATCTACATGGTCAACCTTTCTTTACCTATTTATGTTAGTTGTTTGATAAAATAATATGGTCTTGTCACATCTTGTTTTGTAGATCTTTTGATGTAGTTTTTAAATATATAAATTTTATTTGTTAATTTTACACCTACAATCAAATAAATTGAATTGAAAATAAAGTCGGTCAAACCTCATAAACACAAACGGGAAGATGATTTTAGGACGGAGTGAGTATTAGCTTCTTGCATTGGTTTATTTTGGCTTATGCATTTTTTTAATTTATAGAGTATAAAAAAATAGTGAGAAAAATTATACTCCTCCATTCCTAAAAGATTATCATAGTCAAAGTGTGACACCCTTTGACCGTGAATTGCGAAATAAATATATTTAGTTATAATATAAATTTAGTAAAAATGAGTTTATTTTAAAATATATTTTTGAAATATCAATTTTTTTATAAAATTTAATTATTTTAAACTGTATTTAATTTGTAGTCAATGGATATCACAATTTGACAAAAAAAATCAAATTGTAGCAATCTTTTAGACAGGGAGAATGGTTTTTTGAATTTGAGTTCACTATAATGCTTTGAATCAGTGTTTGATTTAATATTTATGCTTTGTTCGTTTTAGTTGTAAATATAAAATTGAATGTTAGAAGAAATTGGAAGAAGTTGAAAGTAACTAAAAAGAGTTGAAAAAATGAAAGGAGTTGGAACATGTTGGAAAAAAATAAAGCATTAAAAATCACTCAATTAAATAATCACGCAAATAAATACAGAGCATTTAAAAACCTAATTTGGATACAAAATTCATCTTTATCTGTGTTTGAGATGATATGTTATAAATTTAGATATATGATGTTATTGTATTCATCATATGTAAATACTTATTTTAGTCGTTGTTAGAAGAAACTAGAAAGAGTTGGAACAATCGGAAGAGGTTGAAAAAATTACAAAAAATTAGAAGAAACTAAAAGTTAACATTTCTGACCCAAAGACATCCTAATTGCATTTTGGTTTAAGTTCAGGATAGATGGCTGGAGATAGTGTAAGGAGAGATCGTGGTTATATCATAGGGCAAGTTGAACCAATTTTCGGTACAACCGACATCAAATTGGGATCCACGCGGTGCGATTGAACGGGGAGGCGAAGCTTAAAGGGGCGGCTCGGCGAGAACTCTGGTGAGGAGATGAGCCTGAGCTGACACAAGGAGAAGGAGGAGGAAACAGGCAAAGAACGAGTCTCTTGTGCGAATCATAGTCTCCTAGCACGGCACGATTGAGCTGGCTGAAGGGTGGAGCCGCGAAAATTCTATTTGCGATGTATGGAGGTTGATGAATGGAGCTTATGGAAGTGAGTGAGGCGTACCCCAAAATCAACTAAATTTGGATGGTTCAAATGAAGGGGTGGGGTGGTTGGTACGGAGCGGGATAGGGTGGAGTGAGATTTACCGATGAATAAGAATCTTTAGTTTTACAAATAAAGTATCCTGAGTACCTCAATTAAAGCCAATCTCATTTTTTTACATGGGCCTCATACCCTCAATGTCAAAAAAAGGGAGTTCATTACAAACAACAACCCAAGAAAGATTCTACAAAAGGTAAGATCCAAACTAAACTTCAAAGGAAAAACTATTAATAATAATCCCAACTTTGAGCAGTCTTTAAAAATTAATTTTATTTTTCATTCTTATATGTAATAAGCTAACATTTGATAAAGCATGTGGGTTTTAAGTCGCTATTATTAGGACCCTAATAATTGTCTAAAAGTTTGGAATAGTCGGTGCTTAACTAAATAAAAGACGGAATTAGAGTTGACATTAATATATTATTTTTTTCAAATAAGCAACGAAAATAATTCAGTAAAGTAAATAAAATTTGACTATGTGAACGGGAAAATAATTTCTGGATGGAAAGAGCATTATTGTTCAGTTTTTATATTCCAGCCAATTGAGATTATAGTGAAAATTTTAAACCAAAATAAATGTTGATTTTCTCCCTAATTTAGAGAGATTTCTACCATAAAAAAATTGTCTGGTGATTTATTTTAGTGCTGTCTTTCGTAATTTTTCCCTACAAAAAATGGTAATTTTTTCTCCTTAAAGTGCTGTCTTTTGAAAAATTTCTTCTACAAAAAAAAAAAAGGGAAAAGATGAAAGAGAAGAAAAAGGAAGGACATACAATTGGGATGCCGTGATTTTCAGCATGCGCAAAGTACGCAAAGAGGCCGCCAACAATGACTGTCACCATCGGCGATATGGCCGATACCCAAAACAGACGCGCTTTCTTTTTACTCTGCATTTTCAAAACTTATCATCCAACCCAACATTCACACGCTATATATCGGGAGTATTTGTTGTTGAAGAACGACTAAACATTCATTCCTGAGTGATAGAATATTTATTTCTCTAAAACTCAGCTATGCTCGAATGTGAGTATTCTGTTACTCGAAATTGACTATTGTGTGAGACAGAAAAAGAGTATTATGTTACTTGAAATTGAATATTGAATAAGTCGGAAATGAGCATACAATTACTTAAAAACGAATATTCATATGGGTGTACGAGAAACATCATACATTTGGATGCATGGTACAAGTCCTCAAACATTAATTACAAGGAAAAATTTAGCAAAACTAATTTGATTTTTGGTGAAATTCAACAAACAAAACAACTCTACAAAATTCAACAAAACTATTTTGATTAACTCAAGTGTTTTTTTATAATTTACATTACTTAAAAACGTTTAAAAAGAACAATTAATTTATTTACGACATTTATGGAAACTTAAATTTGAATTTTTATTCTAGATTTGACTCAAATTACAACATCTCATAAATTTTGATTTTAATTTGGGAAAATCTTTCCTAATACAAATTTCCAATCACTAAATTTTAGAATTGAAATAAAATAATTCACATAAATTTATTATATTGTTTAATTTCTTAACACTCCTCCATGTCATCTTCCTATTTCCTCCTCCATGTCAAATCACATAAGTTTGGAGAAGACATTTCAAAAGTTAGAATGGACACAATGCATCTTTAGGGCATAGTAACATTTTCACACCAAGTATTATTCTCTTTGGCAATCAATAATGATGAGATTGGTCAAAACTCAAAAGGAAGGCAGAATATTTAGAAAGAAATTACCTGATGATTTTGAAACCAAAAAAAGCAGAGAATAAATTGTGGGTCAACCCAAATACTAAACCCTCCTCTTTTAATTTTAAGAAAATAATCGCAATAAATACCACCTATTCATTTACAAGCAACTGAGTTTTATTTTCGCGTAATTGAATGTTCATTTTCGAGTAAATAAATACTCATTTTTTAAAAATTGAGTTCTTATTTTTCTAAAATTAAGTTATGCTAAAAATGACTATTGTGTTACACGAAAATAAATATTCAATTACTTAAAAACAAGTATTAAAATAGACGCACAATGTATAGTATAGATATTCATCAATAGGTTCATGAATACTGTATAAGAGCACTGACAATGGTAAGACAAAAATTGAAATGTTACACGGTGACATGGATTATTTCAACCAATAAAAAGTAATCCAGTCATCGTGTGACAAATGAGTGGAGTGTCGTAACATACAGTGGCAAGTCGTTGTTTTTGTCTATTTTTGCACTTTTTAATGATTTTTAATTATAAAAAATTATTTTAAAAATCTATTTTTTTATTAAAATATGTTTACTTCTTTTAAAAAATATTTTTTTTCAAAAATTAAAAATATTAAAAATATTTAAAAAAATAAAAAATAAGAGAGTCATGTCTTGCACATGGAATGAAAAGTGGGGTGAAATGGCCATAGAATACCATAATTTGAGTAGAATTTGGTGACATGGTAAGGCAACACATTGTCTTGCCATTGTGAATGCTCAATAATTTAACTTAACCACACGCCTAGACTTTGCACTCATAGGCTTCATGTGACTCATGTCTGTTCCACCGACATGCATTTGCCTCATTTATATGGGTAGGTGTAATAATTTCAAGTATATATTTCCACTCTCTATGAATTCTACTTTACCTAAAATGAAATTAAAATTTATTTTATTTTAAGATTAGTATAAAAATAAAAAATAAAATTTGTATACTTAAAATATATATATGTATCAAAAGTTTTAGAAAACAAGAGGTGATGAATATTTTATTTTATCAAATAATTAGTAAAAATACATAGATAAACATTGTAAGACAAAGAGAGTATTAATATTCAAATTACTCTGTACTTTCTATCACATGCTTAAGGCTTTGTTTGGGAACAACATGTTTGATTGACTTTTCATTTAAGATAAAATTTTAATGGCATTGATTAATTCTAAAAATGTTAATGCTAAAGGCTATCATCAAAAAACATTTTCAAAACATTAACTTCTAATGTTAATGTCAAATGAAGCCTAAATTTGAATCACTCAAATTTGAAAAGTTTGCCTTACGTTCAACTCAACACAAAAAATTGGGACAAAAAGAGAAGAATAAACAACTAAGAGCAATTCCACCCATGCTTGTTATATGGACTATAGAATTGATATTTCTACATTAAAACAAATGATCAATTTTATAGCAAGCACCTTTTTGTTCCACTCTCTCGCCAAAAGTTTGTTATTTTATTTTTAAGCTATTTGCTTACTAAAATGTAGCACATTATTTTTAAGCTATTTGATACTGAGTAGCTTTTAGCAAGTCAAAACGGTATGGTTGGAAATCCTCTAACTTGATCTATACATGCATTTCCTTTTCCATAGCAAAAATAAGATGTAAATTGAGATATGTAATTAATTAAGATTCAACACAAATTAAATGACTTACCACAAATCTTGTGAACTGAAGAAAAGCAAGGAATATTGTACCCACAACTATACTCTCCCATTTCCACTGCACCATACCATTAAAACTATGCATTATCAATAAATAATTGTTATAATATCAGTGTTTATATATTTTAGTAAACGAAAAAGCTTAAGGGAGTAGGCCATTTTGGGCCTTTTCCAACTCAAAATCAACACTTTTAGGACAAGAAGAATAGGATAACCATAAAAAGCACTTTACTAATAAGTTTTGAAAAGCATTCCTTTTATCCCAAAAATATTATTCCTTCAAAAACATATTAAATTATGTCACATTTACGAAACATTAATATATACGGAGTACTAAAGTTTTATTTATATTTTTTGGGGTCAAATTACGACACTATATTTAACCACAAATTAGTTATAACGATATTTTAGGGGAGGAGTAGATTAAATGAGGTAGGTGGGACACCTGATGTGTTTGGGAGAAGACGGAGCGGAGGACGGAGACGACGTCGGTTCGGGTGGTGAAGTGCTTCAACCCAACCATTCCCTTCAACTGCTGCAAGCATATCAGCACTGCCGTCCCTCCCATGAACCCAACTATGGTTGAATGTGACAAAAAATCCACCAATATTCCCAACCTAGCTCATTAATATATACTCCATTATTATTCTAAATTAATGCCCAAATTTTAACATTAATTTATACATTCTACAATTGTATAGCCAGTTTGTTAGAATATAAGAAACATTTTCTGATGAGCTACACCATTAGTTTGAGCTTTTGGTTGAGTTGGTCCAATGACGACATGGTATCGGAGCCTTGTTGACTAAGAGGTCACAGGTTCGAAACTCAACGCCACCCAATTTTAAAAAATTAAGGTCTCACGTGCAATGCTCGAAAAAAAGATTACACTTACACGTGAGAAAGCGTATTAGAATATAAGAAACATTTTCTAGGTCACACAATAAGCTTGAGCTTTTGGTTGAGTTTGTTCGTTGACACAAAACGTGAACAATATAGTCAATTCCAATTTACCTGAGTATGCCTAGAGTAATTTGAAGTAGACCGGAGAAAAAGGTGGCAGTGAAGACCAGGCTGAGATACAATTCTAGATTCTTTTCTGGGTTGACGGCGTCTCCGACGGTGGCACCTATGATCAAAGAGCATGCTGCCACCGTACCCACCGCCAAGTGCTTTGAGCTTCCCAACACTGCGTATATTAATGGCGGAACAAAACTTGAATCTGCAATAATAAGAATAAATAAGAATAAGTAATACTGAGGGCCTGTTCTTTAGGACTGAAAAAAAGAACTGGAAACTGGAAGAAACTGGAAGGAACTGGAAGAAATTGGAAGAAACTGGAAGGAACTGGAAGAAACTGGAAGAAACTGGAAAAAACTAGAAGGAACTGGAAGAAACTGGAAGAAACTGGAAGGAACTGAAAAAACTGAAAAAAATTAAAAGAAATTGAAAAAACTAGAATAAATTGTAAAATCTAAAAAAAGTTTTTAAAAAATTTTTATGTGTGGTTTTAAATTATTCTCATTCTGATTCTTGTTGATATAAATTATTATTACTATTATTATTATAATTATTATTATTATTGTTGGTGGTGGTGGTGGTAGTGGTGGTGTTATCACGTTATCCAAATGATTGTCTTTAAAATAAAAAAATATTATGAATACTCCGTATTATTTTTCATACATAAAAAGATATTTTAAAAAATTAATTAGAATATAAAATTAGCATAAATATCACAATGTTGAATAGTTAAGAGTTATTATGGCTATGCTGTATTTATTATAAAATAATATATTTGTAATTATATTTTATACATAATGTAATCAAACTTATATTTATTTAAGGATTGACAATTTATTTCCATTGTAACCCTATTTTTTGAATAAAAATATAGAACTGGTATTATTCATATTAAAAAGTTGAAGAAAAAAATAATGAATGTGAATCATAAAAATAGTGAGATGAAAAAATTAAATAATTTATAAACTATAGTTATGAACATAAANAATAGTTAAGAGTTATTATGGCTATGCTGTATTTATTATAAAATAATATATTTGTAATTATATTTTATACATAATGTAATCAAACTTATATTTATTTAAGGATTGACAATTTATTTCCATTGTAACCCTATTTTTTGAATAAAAATATAGAACTGGTATTATTCATATTAAAAAGTTGAAGAAAAAAATAATGAATGTGAATCATAAAAATAGTGAGATGAAAAAATTAAATAATTTATAAACTATAGTTATGAACATAAAAGTTGTAATTAAAAAAATTGTAATAATAATAATAATTATAATAATAATATATTTTTTTTAGAGTTATTTGTCAAAAGGTAGAAAGAATTTGAAGAAAATAAATATAGTTGGAAAAAATTAGAAGAAACTGGAAAAAACTGGAAGAAACTGGAAGAAACTGGAAGGAACTGGAAAGAACTGGAAGGAACTGGAAAAAACTGGAAGAACTGGAAGAAACTGGAAGGAACTGGAAGAAACTAGAAGAAACTGGAAAGAACTGGAAAGAACTGGAAGCTAAGAGTTCAAGTCCTAAAGAACAAACCCTGAGTAAGTAATAAAAATAGGTTGAAGCTAAGTTGTAACTTTAGGACAAGGGAAGTATATGTAATCTGTAACGCGATTCTAAGAATTGGTGTTTTATTTCTAGCATACCAATTTTAAATTTTATTTAACTATATCTTTAGTATAGGTAATTACTTCCTTTACATCATTTTCAATTATACAATTTTATTTTATTAAACTCTGCAGAGAATAAGTTTTTTTAAAAACCATTTTAAAGTTATTGAATATCATTGATTAAAGTTAATTATTTAAAAAATATTTAAAATTAATTTATATTATATTGGTTTAATATAAATATCTAAAAATCATTGTAATACGGTGATGAATTGCATGTCATATATACACCACTACCCATAATAAGTGAAAAAATATGAAAATAAGTGAAAAATGATTTGACATTAATATGAATGAGAAAGAATGGACTAATAAAAGTATAGAAGATCAATAAAGCTAAGGGTACAAAATGTTTTATCCCATTAATATATGAATATATCACGACTCACGAGTGTCTGTGTTCACAGACATTTAGTATATATTTGTTTGGTGTACAAATGAGGTAAGTACCTATAAATATAGACACTAATATATGTATTTAATTGATGTACACATGAGCTATTCCATTTTAGTGTACCAATACTATTCTCAATAGAAGATATGTACTGTGTATATCCTCCACTTCACCTTAGAGCCTATCTTACCTACTACAGAGTATTCCGTATTGTTTTCAATAATTCACCAATATTTTTTTTTACCAAATTCATTCAATCATTATCAAAGACTATTTCAACAAGTATTAGCCTTTATCTTTTATACTCCCCACATACACGTCCGCTAATAATACGGAGTCAATAATACTAGTAGGAGATAAATAGCAATTAAACTGTTTTATTTTCTAAATAATAATTAATAATGTTCATAATGTCTAGTGATGACTAACATTTACTTGAATAATGACTAATGTATAATGACTAAAATTGTTATATTAGGAAAAAAAACAATGTGATCCTATACAGAGAAAATCATTATGTTTTAGTGTTATTTACGTAAATTTCTCTTGATTTTAACTTGTTTATTTATTTTGAATGTTAGATTTTTTCTGGTTCGAGTCCTAACGGGGCGGAGGCATTGAAGAACTTACAGAGTCCGATGACGGGAGGGAGGTTGGCGAGCTTGGCGTAGCTGATTCCCTGGGGGATGGCCAGGCTGGCGATGGTGATTCCGGCAAGGAGATCGTACTTGAACAGCTCCATTCTGTACTCCGGCAGCCACCGGAAAACCGGCACGAAATACTGGACCCCCTTTCTCACCCTGAGCCAGACCGGCCGGTTCTTCAATTCCCGGAACGGATCGTCCGGGAACAGAGTCTCCATCAGTTTCGACCTCACAACGCGCGAGAATCCCCGCGGCTCGGCAAAGCTCACCGCCGGTTGCCGGGACCGGCCGTCGGGGTGCTCGCCGCCGCCGCCGTCTCCGTCGTATTTCATATTCTTCTTCAATCGACAAAGAAATTAAGCTGCTCTAGACGTATATATATACTCCCTCCGTCCCCCCTTCTCTAGATAACTTTTGTTTGTTTACGCGATTTCATCAAGTATTTGATAAAATAAAATATTCTTGTCACCTCTTGTTTTGTAGAACTTTTGACGTAGTTTTTTAACATGTAATTTTTATAGATATACCGATTTGTAAATAAAATAATTTCAAAAAGTAGGAAATTTTACTCCGTAACTCGCAATTTGTAATAAAAGATGGGGAAATAATATGGTAATATCGGGAAGCACGGGAAAATTGATGAAACTACTCCGTATTTCTACCAACTTTATACTTCTCATTTTCCTTGCAAGTTTGAATATAAATTCCTTTCTCATTTTGTTTTCATTTACCTTAATTATTGTATTTAATATTCCTAGGGGTGTAAACGGATATTAATCGGATCGGATGTGGCATTACCAAATCCGCATCCGTTTATTTTTGTCAGATATCAAATTCGGATACGGATTTTGACGGATACAGGAAATCAAAACCGTATCCGCATCCGTCGGATCTCGGTCAGATATCGGATATATCCGTATCCGTTTCCAATTTTTAAAATCAAATTAAAAAATATTTTATTTTTAAATTAGATTAAAGTCAAACTATTATTAAATCAAGTATAATTTGTTATGAGATAATTTTTTTCTTTGTTTTCATGATTTCTGATATTCTACAATAATTTTATATGATAAAAAGATATACACAACACATATATACACATATTTTTATATGTCTGTATATATTTTTATGTGTACACATTTATTTTGTATTTAAAAATGTCTTATATTTTGGATTATCAATAGAAAACAAAATATAAACATAAAAAATTAGGAAAAACTATATATAACGGATCGGATATTCGGATAAACGGTTATTTAAACAGATGCATATGCGGATCGGATTTTAAACGGATCGGATATACAATTACCAAATCCGTATCCGTTTAGTAATCGGATACGGATAATATCCGTTCAAAACGGATGCGGATTCTTTCTCTTTAAATGGATACGGATGCGGACGGTAATCGAATTTTCGGCTATCCGTTTACAGCCCTAAATATTCCCCTCTTGGACTATGTTTATGTTTAAAAGATTAAAGTTGGATATTAGAAAAATGAAATTAATTTGAAAGACGTTAGGAAAAGTTGAAGAAGCTATGATGGTGTTCGGAAATAAACTTCAAGAAATTGAAAAATTAAACGAGTTTTAAATTTGTGATCTCTTTTTTTTACTAATCGAAAACATTTATTAGAGTAGTAAGCAATTGCTCTCCCCCTCTTATGAAAGTCTACCTAAAACGTTGTAAACCTTAGGTCCACCATAACATTTAGAAAATTAAATTATTTTTTTTACTTTTTATTAAAATAAGCTTTTTTTGGATGTTTGGCTATTTTTTCTCTAAAATTATACTCTCTATATTCAATATTGTAGTAGTAATATTTATGTGACTCACAACTTTTCACTTTTCCTTCTTTTTATCATATCCTTTTATAGTTTCATTAGTTTGTGTGTTACTAACACACTAACACATATCCCAAAAATAATGGAACAAAATGAACATTATTCTTATCAATTTATTTAAAAAGAAAATTTACATAAAAATTCAACAGTCAAACAAAAAGAAATTCATACCATACTTTGTGCCCTACAATAATCATATCACAAATTTTGACGTGTCTCACAAAAATGATTCAGAAACTAACGAAGTCAATTTATCACTAGAAACTACTAATGTCACACAATTTACTTTTTCTAATTATGTAAAAAAAGCCACAAAAATAACCAAAGCACTGCATTATTAAATTGAAAAAAATCATCCAAATAACTTTGGAAAAAAGTCTAGATTGGTGTTTAGAAGTTCCAATATAATAAATCTAGATGTACAATGTTATCGGGTGTGCATCATGTATTCGTTATGTACATTTATTTTAATAATATTAATAATTGAATTGAAATAAGAATAACATGCAAAATGCATGTAATTAATTCTTTAAACAATTATAGGAAGAAAATATAAGAAGTTTGAAAAAATTAGAAGATATCAAAAATATAAATTTAGAGTTCCTATTAAAAAAACATGACCTTTATGGTTTGCAATCAAATCATCATTGTTCTTCTAAATGTTCATTCAAACGTAAAAGAGGAATGATTTTGTATTTATGTATCTATCATTAATATGCTTGGTCAAGCTGGAAGAATTTGTTTGCAAGGAGGAAGTATCATTCTTTTTTTCTTTTCATAGACATAATTTATTTGTGATATAAATACTTCCCCTGTCTGAAAATATTCTTCTCATTTAACTTTCTTGGTCAAAATTTATTTTGTAAAATTTGATTCTGATATGTGGAAAAAATACATTGTATTATGATATAAATTTAATATCAATATATTCATTTTGATACGTAGTTTTCAAATATCAAATTTTTATAAAATATATCTATTTATAAATATAGATGTTAATGATCAAAGTATAACATTGTAGAGTATGAAAAGTCGAATGTGAAGAGCATATTTGGACAAAGAGAGTAATACTTCTTTTGTCCATAAATTATCTTCTAATTTATACTCGTAATACACAAAATCATCTTTATAAACTTTTGTCATTTCTAGTTTTATAAACTTTTTAATGTAATTTTTAAATATATACATACTTTGTAATTTTTATTATTTAATTTTGTATCAATTATATAAATGCATTCATAAAAAATTAAAATTACATATTAAAAAACTATATCAAAATTTTTACAAAATAAGAGATAACAAGAATATTTTATTTTATCAAATAATTAATAAAAATACACAAATAAATACAAGTTGTCGAGAAATGAGAGAAAAAGATTGCAATTATATTTGGGAGAGAGGGAGTATGAACCATACGAATAGTCTTAAGGATTAGGTGTGCCACTAGAGAGTATCACTATAGTCCACTCAATTGTTTAAACATTTAAGCTCCAAATTCTATCCAAATGTACAATGAAAAATGTAAATTCAATGCAAGTGATGACAGCATGACCTATCAGGGCTATCACTCACTGTATAAACAAATAATTAAAGCTTCAACCAAATCATAAATTCTAGCTCAAAAGAGTAAATCAGATAAAAATAAATAAATAAAAATAATATCACATTCATTCCGTTCATTTGTTTTGTTTGATTTTTTCAATCGAATTTAAACAAAGTCTGTGCTTCAATTATTCTGGATTTGTAGGCATTGAACATTAGTATAATGAGAAAAAAATTGAAAATTGTCAACAAGATTAATAAAAAACCAAATTTTTATCCTGTACTAATATATACGAGTACATTATAATTTTTACTTTCTTGGAAAAAAGTCAAACTATACAAATATATTGAGACGTATAAGCTCATTTGTCCAAAGTAAAGAAATATACAGAGCAAACAAACTACGGAGTATATGGTAGTGATGGGGATAATGATTAGCTCTTGTTCCATGCTTGACATATATTCCTCTAGCATTGTCGAAGAGAGATCAGATTGAGGAATATCCTCACTACTTTCTTTCTCAATCTTCGAATGATAGGGGATTGATACAGAAGAGTAGAGATGATCCTCCCATACCCACGAGAGTCGTAAAGAATATCTATACAGCTTCATTCTTCTAAGTTGATTCGTTTCATAGAGAGCAAATTGACAAGGATGATTGAAATTCTTTTCTGAGTTAACTCTTTTCTTTCATGCATGTGGTTGCTTAGATGAGTTGCTTCACCTAAAAAAAAACAGTGTGAAGTTGTTGTGGAGGACCAAGTGGAGCATCAGTTGGTGAAACAACTACTCCGTATATCTTAGCTTTTTGATGAGCTTTGTCAAGTACGTACATACCTTGACAAGTTTCTCTAAATATAAGACCCTATTCCCAAAATTCAATTCAATGCAGATAAAACTTTGATATATCTCGCGAGAGCGATACTCATTTAATGGTGGACACAAACTGACAAACATATCAAGAAAGAGTAAAGAATGCTACTAAACAGATGTATTGCTGCCTACAAGATGCAGTGTAGTACTAAAATTAATAACTTTCCATCTTTGAATACATAGTTTGGTGCAAAACTACATCACAATATCCAGTATGCAGCAGCAGCTTTTGAACTAAAACAGTCAATCTAGATGATCTGCAAATGGATGCCAGTTCTACCATTTCTCCCTCTATACACAATCCACCTACAAAGGAAAAAAACTATGGCCAATAGCATATACCTGAAAGAAGGTTGTTAATTAACAATAATCCCATTAGGATCCTCTCTGTAATAACTTCAACATGGAGTTACTGCAGATGATTCTTTTCCAGTTTCACTTGTTGAGCATGCCATTTGTACATTACTTGGTACCGAAGCAGGTTTTGAAACAGAATTGCTATCTTTCAACTCCAAAAACCCCTTCTCTTCTAATAACAAACTCGCAAGTAGAGTCAGGCAGATAGGGTGAAAAAACGACGCGAATAAACCTTCTTTTCCGGGTAAGAACACAGCCATCTCTGTCTTCTCCAACCCTCTCCTCATGCTTGGACATAAACAGCCTCGTGTTCACACAATTGGCCCAAGATAACCCAAGAACAGCGCTGACATTCCTTCCAGAAGTGTAAAGGGACGCAGAATTTCCAATCCGAATTGATTCAGAAGCATTCACCACATCCACAACCTGGTTAATCACCACAACAGCCAAACCGAACCTACAAGCTTGTTCCTTTAATTTGCCCGAAATCTTGAAGAAAATATCCGACCTTTGCTTGAGCTCAAGAGGCTTGTTGTCAAATTCATGGCGAAAGAGTGCCCCTATTGAGTCAATAACTACTAACCTGATAGGGGAATCGCCATTGGGAGGCCGGGACAGCATCCAGTCAATTCGGGGCAATAGGTCGAGCAGGTGGTGTGCGGAGTGTAATGGGTGGGTGAGGATTTTGTCCAAGGGGTTATGGAGAGAAGGGAAAGAAAGGGACAGCTGGGAGAGGCGGCGCAGTGGGAAAGGAGGTTCGGAATAGAGGTAGAGAGAAGAGGCGGAGAGACCGCCGTGGGAGACGGGGAGCTGGGCGGTGAGGAGGAGCTGGAGGGAGATTTGGGTTTTGCCGCAGCCGCTCTCGGACACTATCTCAGTGATGGAGTTGCAAGGGACGCCGCCGCCGAGGAGGCGGTCGAGAACCGGACAGCCGAGGCTGCACTTGGGGGTTCGGGCGGCAAAAAGAGGTTGAAGAAGGTCCTCGGGCTTCATTGGGGGGTGGAGATTAGGGATCCGCCGGATGATCGTCTCTGGGAGTGACGATAGAGTTCATAGTTGGGGCGGGTGGGGGGGAATGGAGTAGGTTGAAATTTACTTTATTCAAAACAAGGCGCGGCAATAGTTTAAAAATTCTTAATTTTCATTTTTTTTGATATCTTATATTTTCTGATTTGTTTTGGTAGGGAGACAAGAAAATTAAAATTAGAGGATGCGTGAAGAATGAATAAAGATAAATATGTGGTGGAGAAGTGGTGTAGACAAGATTGGTAGCAAGGGTGGAGTTTTTAGCATTTTCCAATTCCAATACTCTAAAATCTCTACTCAAATTTTTTTAAGAAGAGAACTCTTTTATCCATTGTGCGCATAGACTCATCAAGTACTAATTAATTAGTTGCTCATACTAATGGGTGAATATCTGAATGATTTAAATGGATCATTACTTAGTGTTAGGTTTCTAGTTGATTTAGGTTTTGATTAGATCTGCACTCCACATTATAATCAGAAATAAGACTTCATAATTGATTTGACAAAAGAATTTGTATCAAAGGCTAGAGGTTCATTAAGTAAAAATCCTACACCTTGTCTCTATAGTGATCCAAACTCTTAAGATACCTAAGAGAAGATTTTGTGAAGTGATAATCAAATTTCTGACTCCATCTTGTCCAAAATTCATTCTTGTTAAGATACGAAATCAATTTATATTTTGGATAAAGAGATTATAATTTGGATAAAGAGATATATTCTCTATTTACATTTTTATTATTATTTTGAAAGAGGTTACAAAAAGTAAAATTTGCTTTTATTTTTAAGAGATAAGTAAGCAACTATTTGATTAAAAGTAAAAGTTTATAATGTTTGAAAAAATTTACAAAAAAATTACTTCATCTATGCATGCAAAGAAAAAACAAATAACCACAATAATGGTCGTGGTTGATGTAGAGAAATCGTTGTAAAAACATCCGAGTGTTGGTGCTGATGTGAAATGAAGCAAGTAACAACTCCAACAACAACAAATTTAAAAAACATGTGAATTTTATTCAACTACATTTTGACATCTATTTGACTATGGTTTGAAAATTTGGATTAACCTCCAATTTTGTTTGCTCTAAGTGCATAATCAACAATAATGTGTAATAGTTTCAAAAAAGTTCATAGATTCGTTATTGATGTCTAAAACATTTGAAAAGTATATCAATGAAAGTACCTACAACAATATATAGATGCAAGATTTTTTAGGTTGTCTCGCGTCTTGTCCCATTTTATATAAACAGTCTGGAACGGTTTAAATTACAATCTTATCCCGATTTGTCCCACAAATTTCGGGATCGGAATAAACCGGAATGGATTCGGGTCGTCCTACTTTGTCTTAATCGCAAATATAAAAAAGGGGAGAAGGTGATATTTCATTCAAAAAAAGAAACATTTAGCCATAAAACAAAAAATAATGAGTGAAATGAAACCAAATAAATTTAACAAAATTTGAGCTGAAATCTCAAACCCATGAAGTTCACTTAATTAATTAATTAAAGAATAAGCTTATTTGGATTTTAGACTAGAATTAGTATTATATACGTAGTATTAGTAAAGTAGATGAAATGAGACAAACACACTGGATCAGTATAAATTTAAACTGTTTCGCTCATGTCCCCCATTTGATATTGGAATGGAATGTGTTCGGAATAAAAGAAATGTATCACAATTAATAGGTACAATTACTAAAGAGATAAGCTTACAACAAGAATTGATTTCAGGGCCAGCGCACAGGCGGACACCGTATTTCAGCTAATTGCCTCCAATTCCACCGCGAGGATCCAACCAGTGAACACCACCACCAAGAAGATGCAATCTCTGTCGTTGAAGGTGAGCAAGAGGCTCTCCACCTCCAAGCATCTCTTCGGAATCTCTTCCAACCTCGTTCCTCACGCATCTTCGTCAATCACCACCACCTCCTCTTCCTCCAATCCGCCACCTTCCTCACCGGTCCACTCCGCCGCCGGAAACGGCGGATCCTGGCCTTCCTCCGCTCTCCACAGCTTGCTCCGCGCTCCGTGGTCCGCCAATCAAAGCCGCGGAATCACTCTCCCCGGATCTGACGTAAGAATTGCCGTTTCTCTCTGATTCTGTTTGTTGTTCTTTTTCCGGCAGACATTTCTTACATGATTGGAAGAGGATCATCTTATGTGAAATTTTTGCATTTCGTCACTGTTGATTTGTCATATTTTTACTCATAATCGACGTTATTAGGTTTTGGACAATTTGCATGTGAGATGGGGTTCATCCCCCTCCTGTTATTAAGATGACGCTTAGTTGATACTTTTAAATTTGAGTACTCTACACTGTTATTGGATGGTTGTGTGGTTATTTTTGGGTTACTGATTGTTGTTCCCGCTTGCTGATTGCTGTGTGCAGGTTAGAGCTGCGAATCCCATTTGGAACCAAGGTTGCAATTTTACTTTTTATTGTTTTCTGCGATGATTTTGATTATTGAGATGTTAGTTGTTACTGATGAAATCTCTTTTCATTTCTTTTTGTGGTGGATGTGGGTGTGGTTGCTGGCAGGACGCATTCATGAGGTAATTACTGATTGATTGAAAAGTTAGCTGTGGCGTGGTACTCATTGAGGCTTGTTGTCTAATGTTACATTCTGTTATTTGAATCTCACTAGGTTCTTAAGGTTTAAGCTCTTTTTTGTGATTGGGATTTATTAGGGATTCAGTTGGGGTGTGGTCAGTGAATGTGATACGTTCTCATATTTCTTATAAAAAGAGAATTAGCATATCGAGCAATTAATCTTATCACTAGAAGGAACTGTTATTTTTTAAGGCTTCACACACGGCTTGGTATTTTATGGTATTTTATGTAAATGATAAACTTTTTGGCCATCATGGGTGATGATAATTTTTTTGAGTAGTTTTGACACTCTTTGAGATATAACTTGGCTTTTGGAGCCAACATAATGTCTCCAATCATAGTGTGCCTCGGTAGCTTATTACTACTGCATTTCTTGCTCTTCATTTGATGGCAGAACATTTTCATCAAGTCAAGAACTTTATTCCTCACCCCACCACTTGAGTAAGGCTGTGAACAAAGTGGATAGAAAACTATACTATATGTTGTAAATAAGATTTGTAATACTGTAAATAAAGACAAATAGAGCTAACTGATGCATAACCGGGACTTTTGATTAATTATTTGCACACTTACCCGATCAACAATGCCTGAGACATTTTTCTGTGAAACTGACACACTCTATTGGTCAGTGGTAAACGACAGCCAGACAAAAATAAGAACACAATGCAGCTTCTTCTCACTAGCGGGGGGGGGGGGGGGGGGGGGNNNGGGGGAGGGTGAGAATGATGCATGGGCAATAGAAAATATTCTCTCATAGAAACTGCCTTATTGAAGAAATTGTGACAAGTGAGTTTTCATGACATTTACCAATGATGTTAAAGGTCTCGAAGAGTTATATTGTGTAGCCTGAGCAAGTCATGTTCCATTTGACCTTCCTTTAATATTCGGAACTGAATGGAATTAATTCAATATTTGGTTTCTGGTAATGCTTAATGCACCAGTCTTGTTTATGTGTGTGCCCAATGATTCCCAGGTTCTGCTTCACAGAGCAGCTAGTTATACAACTGCTGCTACTACAGGGGATGCCATAAAAAGGTTAGTTGGTGTATATTCAAAGCATTCAATGATAAAGTTGATTGTAGTTTCACTTTTTTAAGCATAATATACTACGTAGTATTTGCACTGCTGAACTTGGTTCTTAACTTGATTAGTGGTTCTGTTGACTTTTTAAATGGTTATATAACTGGAGCTTTGGAAGTTTGTTTATACATATAGTTATTACTTGACATTACTGTCATTTTTTAATCAAAACCACAAAGCTGAAGGAAAACACAGTGAAAATCCCTGTAGGAACCTTACAACAAACACAAGCACTCTTGTCTCTTGGGCCCAAAGCTCAAAACTCTCAGCCAAACTTTTATCAAACACCTGCAACAAATGCGATAACTTTAGAGCATCCAAAGGGTGTATTTGTGTGTTACGGAGCATTATTCTTTTAGTCCCTGTATAATTGTCTTCTAGCAAAATTGAATATTGAACAAAGAAAATATGCATAAATAAACCTTATAAATTATAAGGTTTACTTATGCATATGTTCTTTGTTCAATATAAGTAGACCTGACAAAACTGACCCGGACCTGATAACCCAAACCGAATAACCCGGAACCGAACCCGATTTGACCCGAAAACTGAAGAACCGAAATAGAACCGAACACCCAAGATGATCCGAACCGAACCGAACCCGAACCGAATGTATTCAGACCCGATTCAGACCCGAATCCGATTAAACCCGAACCGATTAAACCCGAACCCGGTTAAACCCGAACCCGGATAAACCCGGAACCGATTAGACCCGGAACCGATTAGACCCGGAACCGATTAGACCCGAAACCGATTAGACGCGAAATTGATCAAATTCATTAATATTTCATTTATCAAATGAATTTGGAAAAAAAGAATTACCTATATATTTTTACATATGTTGATATGTTTCTAAAAAAACATATTTAAATTATGAGTGCAAACCATGTAACTACTTTCACGTACAAATCTTTTATTTTGTACTCCGTATTTTATAACCTAAGTTAAAATATATTTGTATTTTTATAGAAAGTATATAAAAAATTATAGTTACATTGTAATGCATATTTTATGTAAAGAATTATGTTACCAAAGTTGATTTTCTTTTTTTAATATGCCAATTAACACACTATAAAAAATACTTGAGCATAAAAATGAAGAAAGGTGTCACAATCATGTGGTAAAAACTTATGATTATGTAAATGAATAAAACAAGCTAACTGACATTACCTAGTATAAGCTAAATAAAAGATTTCTTCTCCAATGAATGAGTAAAAAAATATTGAACCATCTTAAAGAGCTTTTTTAAAACACAAATCTTGATTTTCGTGGATACACTATCCAACAAACAAAATACAGCATTCTAGTGACAATTTAGAACCAAATTGTTATCCAAATATTATTCATTTATTAGTTTGTGTTTACATT